CAACATGGCAAAACTTTGTCTCTACAAAAATGTACAAACCATATCCAGGCATGGTGATGTATGCCTGTAGTTCCAGCTTTTCTGGAGGCTGAGGTAGAAGGATTGCTTGAGCCTAGCAGGTTGAGGCTGCAGTAAGCTGTGCTCGTACCACTGCACTACAGCCTGTGCAAGAGTGAGACTCTGCCTCAAAAAAACGTAAAAATAAAAAAATAAGAAGTGTTGAGTGATGCTTCCAGGATGTTTCCTTAAACTTAAAGGCATAAGAGAAAGCAGGTAGGCTCATCTTCTCTTTCTTCCTGCTAGAACATGCATGTGGTGGCTACAACTCCAGCAGGATTCTTGGACTTTAAAGCAACCTTGGAAATAAAGCCTTGGGTGGCAGAGCAGCAGGATAGAAGACTGGGTCCCGATTCTGTGAGACTGCCCTGGACTGCTCTGAGTAAATGGTTAACAAAACCCTTTCTCTTCCCCGGTAAAAGGACCTTGAGTTTACCATTCATCATTTCTCTGGACACCTACTAGGCAAGGTAATAATGGAATGTCAATTGTGATACTAGGCAATACTGTTTATGATTAAAGATGATCCCTTATTGGTAAACTGTATCTGGACTGTGACACATACTGTAAGTGCCCATCTTAAAACATGAGTTTTGGGATCCGTACGTGCAGTGTTCTTTATTGCACAGATTCCTGGAAGTTACAGTCATGAGCTGCCTCAACAGGTATTAGTTCTGATGGAGCATGAAGCTTCCAAGCCAGGTGGCTTCTGCACCCACCCGGGTGATCCTGTTTCCTTATACCTGAGCTGACACTTGGCAGGCTGGACACTTAAAGCCTCTTGCTGAAATAAGCTTCATGCTGCCACGTTGTTGTGCTGTTTCTTGTTCTGTACCTTGCTAAGTGAACAGGGTTTCAGATTGGATTCCACAAGGCTGATTGGGTCCCCTGAGTGGCACTGTCGTTCTAAACCTGTGACTACTGCTGCTGCTCAGGCACAAAAGCCATTGCCACTGATTACCTCTGACCTTTTATATGAGAGAGATATGACCTACTCTCTTAAGTCACTCCGTAATAGCCAAATTTAATCCTAATTGTTACATATGTGTTTGTAAAAATATGAAAAATACTAAAAATTAGACCAGGTACAGTAGCTCATCCCTGTAATCCCAACAGTTTGAGAGGCCAAGGTGGGACAATTGCTTGAGGCCAGGAGTTCAAGACCAGCTGGGTAACACAGCAAGACACCTGTGTTAAAACATACTGTTTTTTTAAAAAAACAAAGTATGAAGAAGTGCAAGATTCTTGAAATTTGTAATTTTGCAAAAGAAACTGATCTATACTATAATGTACTTCTACTTTAAGTTGAAGAAGATAATAAAGCCTTAAATTCTGAAGAGGAAAAAAAAGCAGCATATAATCCTGAACAGTATAAAAATAAAAAGAAATCCATACTTGGATACATTACAGTGATACTAAAGAAAACCCAAGTCAAGGAGAAAAAAAATCTTAATAGCAGCAGAGGGGAAAAAAATAAAAAGTACCAGCCACCTTCAAAAAAGGAACAGATTGACAGCTGACCTCTCAGCAGAAATAATGTAAGCCTAAAGACAGTAAAATGATGTATATTCAATGTCCTAAAATAACTGCCTACCTAAAATTCTATATACAACAAAAATATCATACCAGAATTATGGCAAAATAGCAGACAACAGCTAAAAAGAGCTCACCAACAGCCGATCCTCACTTCAAGAAAATCTGAAGGATGTATTTCAGAGAGAAGTATTCTCAGATATAAACAGTGAGATACAAGAAGGAACAAACAGCAAAAATAGAATAAATGTAAACCACCGAAAACAGAACAGCAATCTCCACTAAATAATAACACGACAGAAGTGCCATATAGTTTGGCTGGGGTGAGGGAATTATCAAGGAAGGTTTTGCTGAGAGTGACAGAAGTCAGTGTGGCTGGAGGGGAAGGGAAGAATGAGGTGGGGCTGAAGAATTAGGTTATATAGGGCATATATAATTATATAGGGCTTTGTGAATCATGTCAGTACTTTAGCCCACATGCAAGGGAGCACCGTTGTGGGGTTATAAGCAAGGAGGTAATTTTAAATGGTTACTCTGGGTACCACAAGGTTGAAGCAGGGCAAAAGTGGATAGAGGGTTTCAAGTTAGGTTGCTTTTGTGTGTGTGTGTGGTTGCAATTGGGAGACGATGATAATTTAGATTACAGAGGACCTATGGAAATGGAAGGTGGTAGTTGGATGCAAGAGGCATTTTTTTTTTTTTTTTTTTGAGACGCAGTTTCGCTCTTGTTACCCAGGCTGGAGTGCTATGGCGCGATCTCGGCTCACCGCAACCTCCACCTCCTGGGTTCAGGCAATTCTCCTGCCTCAGCCTCCTGAGTAGCTGGGATTACAGGCACGCACCACCATGCCCAGCTGATTGTTTTGTATTTTTAGTAGAGACGGGGTTTCACCATGTTGACCAGGATGGTCTCGATCTCCTGACCTCAGGATCCACCCGCCTCAGCCTCCCAAAGTGCTGGGATTACAGGCGTGAGCCACTGCACCCGGCCCTCTTGTATTTTTTTTAATAGAGATTGGGGTTTCACCACGTTGTCCAGGCAGGTCTCAAATACCTGGGCTCAAGCAATCCTTCCACCTCAGCCTCCCAAAGTGCTGGGATTACAGACATGAGCTACTGCGCCTGCCCCATTCATTCTTTACACACCGTTGCTCGACATTTAACCGTAAATCTTACCATGTTACTCCTCTTCAGTGGATTGAGGTCCCGAATGGTTTGGCCACACCCACCTCTCCAGCTTCAGCTCCCTCTCCTCACTCAGATCACCTGCTCTTTGCCTCTCAAGAAACCTCAGTTTCTTCACACCTCCAAGTTGCCCGTGCTATTTCCTCCATCTGAAATGCTCACCTGTTCCACATCTCAACTATCTCTCCTCGGCTTTCAAATCTCCCCTTAAATGTCCTCCCTGTATGCAAGGGTTTATAAGATGTTGTCATTAAGTTCGAAGTTGTTGAATATAAATAATCTTTTTTTAAATTTCAGCAGTTAATAGAGGTTCATTTATTAGTAAAACATTGACCCTTTTGTTAAAATCACACTTGAAGAGCCAATTGGCAGAATTTATTTTCTTTTCCAAAATTTTTTGTTCTTTCACCCATATGCTCAACCAACAATGCAAAAACCCAGCTCCATAGCTTCCTACTGGTGATGACGCCTCAGACAAGAGCACTCCTCTATGATTCAATGTTATCTGTAAAGTAATGGCACTATGATAAATTGTCCCATTCTCCCCTCAAAGTTGGTGGCCTGCCTTTGTTCAATCCTGGTGCTGTGATGGAATGCTTATGCTCTAAAACTAATTCCAAGAAATATATAAAAATGCACGACTTTCAAATACCCTATGCTGTGCTTATCATAAAAATTCAAAGAATCCCAAACTAAAAAGTAAATCATATATTCATATTTTTATCTTTCACAAATTGAAATATTCTATAACATTTTTTCTACTAATTCTATACTGCAAATTACTTGAGTTAGGCAATACGTCTTTCACTACTTTTTGGTTTTTTTAAAGACAGTCTCTCGCTCTGTCGTCCAGGCTGGAGTGCAGTGGCAGGATCTCCGCTCACTGCAACCTCCACGTCCCAGGTTCAAGTGATTCTCATGCCTCAGCCTCCCCAGTAGCTGAACTACTCAAAAAATCTCAATTTCTTTACACCTCCAAGTTGTTCCACATGCTATTTCTTCTATCTGAAATGGTCACTCATTCTGCATCTCAGCTAATCTCTCCTCAGCTGGGACTACTCAAGAAACCACCGCCACCACCCACCACCACGTGCCCCACCATGCCGGCCTAATGTTTGCTTTCTTTTTTTTTTCCCCAGTAGAGGCAGTGTTTTGTCATATTGACGAGGTTGGTCTCAAACGACTGGCCTCATGTGTTCCACCCCACCCCCTGCGCCCCCACCAAAGTGCTAGGGTTACAGGCTTAAGCCAGCTCACGCCACTGTCTTTCACTGCTTTTATACTGCAAAAAGTTTTCACAACAAAGATGCTCAGTTGCTCCATACCCAGCCCTTCAGAGGAGTTATGCTTGTATATGAGCTCAAGGAACATCAAAATAGATTTTGAAAAAGAAGAGAATCCTGGAAGACGAAGCAAGCTGCACCTCTGCCTTCATTAGTGAAAATGCCCTTTGCCAGTATCTTTACGTCAAACGAATAAAAAGCACTCCTGTGCGACCAGGAGTACAATCCCCTGGTTTGCTTCCTGCAGGGGACTGGGCTGGATTTACGCTGCCCTAGTGGGGTGACTGTCCATGGACTTCTAGGCCAGAAAGAAGGAAATTCATATCCTCACTGAGTCATGTTAAAAGACCCAGGCTGGCAGGCTGTGTGGAAGCTAGAGGCAGACCTCCTGGGTTCCAACCCTGCTCTGCCACGTACCAGACAGGCAACTCGGAGCAACCATTTAACTTTCCCGTGCGAGGATTTCCTCGCCTGTCGAGTGAGTATAATATAATAATAATAATAATACCTACCTCCTAGGGTTGCTGTGAGAAGTAAAAGACTTAATCCACAGAAGGCGCCTGTAATGGCGCCTGGCTGGCACACAGCGAACTTGTCAATAATGTTACAGCCTTTCAACTAAGGGCACCTGAAACTCGCAAACATTTTGCCCAGGTGTGAATTCGCTCCCGTGAGTTACAACACTTGGAATCCCCCGACCCGCAAGAGGGAAAAGAAATCCGGGATGAGGCCAAGGGAAAGCTGCTGGGTCAACTTTTAGCCAGCAGAGCCCAGCTACAGTGCCGGCCTCCCGGTCTCAGGTCTCCCCCGTTTCTTCTCAAGGAGCCGCTCGCGGGAGCGGCGCGGCACAGCTTTTCTCCAATCAGACACCTCAAGGCTGGCGCCACGTCTGCGACCTGATCCAATCTCCTCCCCCGGAGGGAGGGAACGCGAAGTTCCTACCTGCACCTGTGGCAGCGGTGACCGCCTCCTGGGTTATTATTTTTTTTCTCCCCCACCTGCCCCAGGGTTCTGGTTTCCCGAATCACTTGGCGAAAAACCAGCAGGTGGGCAGATGTCTTTTTCGAATTCCTACCGACGCGCAGGCAAGTTCGATGCGCCAGAGTCAACAGCCAGGGTCCCATCTCTCAGCTGACTCCCAGGCGGTGCTAGCAGGGAAGAGGGACGCGCCGGAGAATGAAACACTACTAGCCGGGAAAGCCGGCCTGGACCTTCACCCGGAGCAGCAAGTCTGGCAGCCCCTCGCAGCCGCCCCCTCCGACCAGAACAGACAACGCTGCGAGCCCCGGGCTTCCGCCGCAGCGTGCAGAAATTGGATGTGCCAAAGGAGACTACCAGCAGCACTTGATTTAGCTGGGCTGCGGGCATTCCGACCCGCACACTTTCCAGAAGCCTGATCTCTCCAAGTCCGCGCCCAGGGAGGGACTCGAGTCCCGGCTTCCAGGTTGACCCGAGCGCGCTCCCTTAGTGCTCTCGGCCGCGTTCACCGCGCGGGGCCTCCAGGTCGTGTGAAGTCCAAGCAGGTGAGCAACTGGGGGTGGTTCTGCGTCCGCTGAGACAGAGCCTGGCGCCGGGGGTCACCCTGGGGTGCTGCCCGGTGCCTCCCAGGTCCCCGCCTCCCGGCGCCTTTAGAGAGGCTGCAAACCACGGACGCTCCAGGACTGCGTTTTCTGTGCTTTTGCGTAATTTGCCATCTTTTCCTTGCGCGATTCATACAAAGCCCTTCCGCGCTCACAAAGTTAATTGTGAAGAAGAAAATGCAGGTCAGAGGCCAGAAAGCAGCATCAGGACACCCAACCACCATTGCTACTAAATGACTTGGAAATAGGGGTTGCTTTTCCGATCTGCAAAGTAGGAGGGAATGGGATGTTCGCAGGCGCAGTAGGTAATTGTGCCTGAGGGTGTGGGTGCCTTTTGTACCGAAGGAACTTTTGGCCTTTTTTTTTTTCTTGTATTGTTTTCAAGTCGCTGCCCGAGTGTGTCCTCAGGGCATCCTGGGGAGGAGCCGGTGCCGCTGTTTCGGGGCGCAGCCCAGGCTGCCCCGCAGCCTCGCCGCCTCCCCGCCTCCCGTAGGCGATCAGACTTCCTCTCCCTGGCGGTTCCGGGAGAAGAACCTCCTACAACAAACACCGCTGAAGTTTCCCTCGCCAGCGCGTTCGCCAATCCCAGGAGCGCCCGGCGCGTGGGCTGGGAAGGAGCCGAGTGGAAAGCTGGAAGTGAGCCGCGGTGCAGGCGAATCCTGCGCGTTGCTGTTGGCAGCGCCCAAGAGACCCCGCACGGAAAGTGGGCTGAGAGTCTCGCTTGCGGCACCAGCACCTAAGGGCTCAGAAGGGGCCTTGCGCTCCGCAGGGGGTGGGGGTGTCTTAGAAGCTCAGGGAAGAAGCGCATTGTTGCGGAGTTCCTGGTTGCGTTCTTTCTCCTTGGGAGGAGGGAAATGCACAAGGAAAAAAAGAGAAGCCTTTAATTTGTAACTGAAATTCTCCAGAGTTCAGAATTGTGTCGTACAGGCTTCGTGCATATTTTAATACAAAACTAAGGAGAGAGGCCATTTGATACTTGGCTTCTTCTCAACCGTCGGCCGGGGGCGACTTCAAAAAGACATGAGATTGGGCTCTGGGTAACAAAATGAAGAATTCGGATGGCGGTTTTCAAGGGAAGTTAAGTCTAGACATGCTTCTTTGAAAGTCACAAGGCAGAAGTGGTTAAAAGCAGAATTTAAATGATGCAAAACAAAAATATCATAAGCTTGTTCTTCTCTCCTACTGGGTTATAAATTCTCCGAAGTATCTCATCGAAAAGGCTGCTGGGATGAAAGTCTATGGGGGCAAATCTTGGAGGGAAGTTTCATGACTGTTTGCCATGGACTAATTAAGCCTCGCTGGTTCTTCCGTAGAGAGGACGTACTTGGTTCCCAGCGCCCTCCTCCCAGGTGCTCATCCAAAGGGAGGCCACTCTGGGCCGGATGGGTCACCTTTGGGCGTCCATTTTCAGTCAGGCAGTGTGGACAGGGCGGGTCATTTTCCCTCTAGACGGGTTGATCCAGATAGCCGGGAACGTCCCCTAGATCCCCCCACCCCCTCCCCGCGCATGCTGACCACTGCATTGCACTTCCCCTGAAGGCAAGGCGAAGGTTGAAGCCAAAGAGTTCAAGGCTCAGCCTGGAGACCAGGTGGTGGCGCCCTGTAAGACACTTTCACCAGCACCCTCTGGGACGCAGTGGAGCCGACTGTGGGCTTCGTGGCTCGGGGGTTGGGTCACTCCGACCCCAGCCGATCCGGTGCCAGACGGAGCACAAGGGAGGAAGTGGGACTCGGGGGCACGTGACTTCAACCCAGTAACCACGTTTTGTTTCCTTCCCCCAGTACAGGCCGCTCCCTGGGCACCCACCCCGCAGCCCACCTGGTACAAGCCAGGAAAGGGGTGGAGTTAACTGCGGAGACCAAGTGGAGAGAGGGACCGCTTTGGCCCTTCCATCCGGGTGCCCAGAGCCCCTAGGCCCTCCGGCCATGGCTGACAGCTGCGGTGCAGGCAGCTCCGGCCCCTGGTGGAAATCGCTCACAAACAGCAGGAAGAAAAGCAAGGAAGCCGCGGTGGGGGTGCAGCCTCCGGCCCAGCCTGCTCCCGGGGAGCCCACGCCACCTGCGCCGCCCAGCCCGGACTGGACCAGCAGCTCCCGAGAGAACCAGCCCCCCAATCTCCTTGGGGGCGCCGGCGAGCCCCCCAGGCCAGACAAGTTGTACGGGGACAAATCCGGTAACAGCCGCCGCAATTTGAAGATCTCGCGCTCCGGCCGCTTTAAAGAGAAGAGGAAAGTGCGTGCCACACTGCTCCCAGAGGGGGGCAGGTCCCCGGAGGAGGCGGGTTTCCCTGGTGACCCCCATGAAGATAAGCAATAGCCCCAGTAGCCTGCGAGCTCCAGGACTGTCTCTTTACCCAGCACTACTCCTAAACCCCCAGTTTCAAACCCGAGACTTCAGGCCTGCCCCTTACTTTTTCATAGACTATAGTAAGTTACATGTTGTCTCATTCCACCAAATTCATAATATTCACACAATGCCTTCATTTTATTTTTCTGGAAATTGAAGTGTCAATTGGGTTTTCAATATTTCATGACTCAAGGATGCATTAAATATTTATTTGTGGTAAGAGAAGATACCTGCCGCTGAGGAGGTTGGCATAATTATTTTTTCAAAAAGCTATTCTGGGGCCCTGGCCCCGGGCTCAGGTCCCAGCTTAGCTTGAACTCTGTAGCCTCTCAAATGAGGAAGGTGGCTGTTATTTAGGCCTGGAAAGCAAATCACATGCTATTATTAATGCCTGAGAAATGCACTTTAGGGGTACCTCCGTAGACTTACACCTTAAGTGAAGGAGTAGGGGAGGAAGAAGCATTCTTAGTAGAAGCATTTTAAAGTAAGGCAGGATTGCTTTTAATGTTAAACTATAAAACTGTACCGCCTATTTTAGTGTGGACTATTAAAACCGTTGCACTGTAAGACTTAAGGTGACGTTTGTGTTTTTTCCATTCCAAGAATGAAACCCATCATACTTAAAAGCAGGCATGCAAAGTCCGAGGTGACAGAGTTAATCATTTGCCATGCAACCTAGCAGTGACTGTTGGAAAGCTGCAGGGAAGAGAACATTTCTGGAAACCAGCAACACCTGGACTGGAACCTGTTAGCCAGATACCCCTATTTATCAGCCAAATTTGAGGAAGGGAAAGAGGTACCAATTCATTATTCCTAAATTCACCTTTTACTTCAGTGCATTTTCATAGACTATAGGAAGTTACAATGCTAGTAATACATCCTTTTCATATCCATTGTGAAACTTACTAATAATTGTCTAAAATTAAAACAGAAAGGACTGAACTCAGTTTGTGCAGCTAGAAAGAGATAGAAGGCTTCGCCACGCTTTGCTTTAAAAGCTTATTTCTTTAAAGTATGCATGTATCTAGTTTCAGACCCTTTAGATCTACCAACCTGAAGATTCTTAACAAAAATCTGTTTGCTTTTATTATGAACTTCAAGAAAAAGAGTAAACGAATGCCATTTACTTTGAGAAAATTGCAGGAGTTATTGTAGTTGTTAAGAGGCCCTGGGATCTTTTCCAACCACAATTCAGTTTATTTGTAAACACCCAGAAATACATGGCAGAGAAATTACATTGATCAAAGTGTCTATCTTTGTAGATAATGACAAGCAGGAACTTAATTATAGCTTCTCAATTTGTATATATAGACAAGCTATTTTTTTTTGTTTCTCTCAAATTATAATTTATAAGGTAGTAAAACATCAATTGTTAAATTTAACAAATTTAATGAAAGTGGCTAAAATGAATTTAAATGAATGAATCAAGCTTTGGCACCAGCAGAATAATAGAACAAATGGTATGATACATGAGTTTCCACATAGCAAAGGCCTTATATTAAAGAAAGGTGTTTATCTGGAGGTTATGAAAACCTTAAAAGGGAGACTCTATGAGAGGGATTTTTTAAGCATGAAAAGACGTTTTCTTTGCATACTTCAAACTGGAAAGTATGTGACCAGAATCTCATCCAGGTGGGCTTCCTGGATGAGGAAGACTACATTAAGTTTAAATGGGCCTATCATCTCTAGATTTAGAAAAAGAAGAGGGAATTGAGACTTGGCATAAAAAAGAAATTCATGGTAAGGGATTGTGGGTTGGTAGAGCAATGGGAGTGAACACAGCACATGTTGTCAAATAACGCTTTGGAACACCTTCAAAAAGTATTTCAATTTCACTCTGTAGAAAGTAATCAGAATTAGAGTAGGTAATTACCCAAAATGTTGTCTCCCTACTTCCAGAAGACCAATAGATCAGGACTATACCAATTTATAAAATTAAGTCTGCAATTACATAACTTCAAAATCTTATACTAACCCTTTCATCCAGTTTTATTGTTTTAAATAACTTTTTTCTTTAAAGTTACTGTAGATTAACAAAACATTGGCTGGCGAGTTTTAAGGTTCTATGTCTAA